CTTGAGCCACAGTGCCACTTCCAGCTTCTTTTGCTTATGTGGCGCTGAGGAATCGAACCCAGGGCCTCATGCATGCAAGGCAAGCGCTCTACCACTGAGCCACCTTCCCAGCCCCTAGAGTGCTATAAAATACTTTAACAAATCCAGATGCAGCTTGCTGCTACCAGGCTTCTAATACCCACATAAACAGAGGTAAGAGTACTGCAATTATTAATGAGGTAGGAATCATAACTTGGTGTATAAATCATTCCAAGTCAACATATAAAAATTTCATGCAGATACAAGTATTTATGGACATATTATATAAAACCAAATATGAACAGAGGGAATTAGGAAATAAAATTCTGTACTAAAATGTGCAATGATTCTGAATGCCCAAAGAAAAACTAGAATATCATTCATTCAACAAGAACATGTCTTTCAATCACTCAATAAATATGTATTAGCTTGTCTCTTGTGTGTCAATCACCCATGTTAGCCTTGGAGATCCAGTGAAGAGAATCTTCGTACCTACAAGGAAATTTTCCATCTCCACCAGCTCCTCTCAGCACTCTGGCATTCACATAGCATGCAGAGCTCTCTCCAACAGCCTTCCTAAAGGAAGGTCATCGAGCACTTGCTCAGTGAACAGCGAGACAGCATGTGTAATGGGTCTAGCACACCGATCAGAAATCTCTAAATACATTCATTCTTGCCTACTTCAACAAATATCAAGTCCTACATCTGGCACCAGCTGTGCATAGCTCTTAACCATCTGACTTTGATTCATTTTAGCACTTTTGAACCTGAGCCTACTCTGAGGACCCTCCTTTCAGGTCCCAGGGAAGATGACTGAAGATTTCTAAGAATGGGCAGGGTCATTACCTCACAAAGGGGCCTGTTCCATCAGATGACTGGAGTTAGAAAGTTCTTTTTCATGTTAAGCTAAAATTCTCTCTCTGTGAATTCAACAACAGATCTTTGTTCTATATGTTTCAGTAACACAAAATCATTGTTGCCTCTCCTACTATATAATAATCCCTCAAATAATTTTTAAAACTCAAATCTATTGTATTTTTCCAAATATTAAAAATAAAAATATAGCTGGGCACCAGTGGCTCACACCTATAATCCTAGCTACTCAGGAGGCTGACATCTGAGGATCACAGTTCAAAGCCAGCCCGGGCAGGAAAGTCTGTGAAACTCTTATCTCCAATAAACCACCAGAAAACCGGAAGTGGTGCTGTAGCTGAAGTGGTAGAGTGCTAGCCTTGAGCTGAAGAGCGCAGGGACAGCACCCAAGCCCAGAGTTCAAGCCCCATGACCGACCAAAGATAAATAAATATAAATAAAAATATGACTTTAAATGGTAACAATCCTCTAATTCTGAGAAACTTTTGTAATATGGGTTACCTTCTTCCATGAGATCTTTCAGACAACATTTCCCTTTAAGATACAGTGCCCAAAATGTAATGTAAGATACTAGATTTGTAGTTTGACCAGCTTTATATATACATACACAGAAATATGGCCTAAGACTCTACTCAGACCTGAAGTAGACTTTTGACTAAGTAGAGAAGACAACTGCACATGGAATAAGCAAGTCATAAGATACTATCAAAACTATGTTTACTTAAAAATTCAGTGAGGAGGTAGGATAGCGAAATGGCCAAGGTACAGGCTAGACCACAGCTCTGGATGAGTTCAGCTTCTAATTATTAGAGGCTAGCTAGTTCTTAACTTCTAGGGTTGCCACAAAGAATTAAATGAGTTATCAAGTATAAAGAAGGAAAAGGAAAATTTTTTAAAAATATTAACAAATAAGGCAAGCAACTATATTTTGGTGTGTAGCAGCGAGTGTGTGTGTGCTAGTACTGGTGCAGGACCTATGGCTCTGTGTACTTTTTCACTCAAGGCTAGTGCTATACCATTTGAGCTTCAGTTCCACTTCCAGCTCTTTGCTGTTTGAATGGAGATAAGATTCGCATAGACTTCTGCCCAGACTGGCTTCAAACCATGATCCTCAGAATCTCAGCCTCCTAAGTAGCTAGGATTATAGGTGTAAGCCATTAGCACCTGGCTTACTATTTATCTTTATTCAGGTGATTATCTATATACCTTTCAAATTGTGTTTTCACACATGACTTGAAAATGTCTTTCTGATAACTTTCTCCAGAAATAACTACTATTAATGGATAAAATCAAAGTGGGACTTTGTTAGGTTCAAAGGATATGATACCCCCATTCTGAGAGAGATAAACAGAACTATGTCAAATGAGAGTTAAGAGCAAAAGCAACAAACAGAAAGTAAACTCTCAAGATCATTCTTTCCTTCCCACTGACGTCTAGCTGCTCACTCAATGATCCCATGAATGTAAATTTTCTTGCTATTTTACATGCCCTGAAAGTATGTTCTCCATATATTTTTCTAGTCATACATTTTTAAACCCTCAAGAAGAACCATAATCAGATGCTAAGTCAACTTTGAGGATATATTTTTTTATTGTAAAGATGATATACAGAGGGGTTACAGTTTCATAAGTAATGAGTACGTTCCTTTTTGAACAGTCTTTCCCCCTCTCTCATTTTCTCCCACTTTCAATTTTTAGGATATTTGCTGGAACAAATGATTCCTGAACTAAAACAGCTCTTTGTCCATCTGCAATTGTTCACTTCAATATATTATCCTTAGGAAGTTCAAAGAGCAGAAGGCAGCTATAAGGAAGCAAAATCTGACTATTCCTGGATCATTCAGTTCTTCTATCATCACACTACCTGACCTCCGACAGACACCAGCTACACCAGAAGCATCATGAACAGTTACTATAGTCCGAGAAAATGTGGTAAATAAATAACTTAAAATAGAGGGAGCATTGTCAATTGCTGGTGAAAAACCTGTCCTTAGCTTCATTGTGTATCTTAGAAAGTTATACCAAGCTCCTCTGCCGTAAAGCCCTTAGCAACATACTTGACATTTTAACCTCTTTATTTCTCATCCAGCAAACCTCAGAAACAACATCAAGGCAAATGAAGAAACTTTTTGAGCCAGGCTCCTGCTCAGTGGCTATTCAGCAATCTTGCTTCCGTAATTCTTCCCCCCTCTCCTGAGTCACCCTTGCTTCTAAGTTCTTTCTTCATGCAAACATACTCAAAAAACATTTTTAAAGCAAAAGAAGAATAACAACCAAAAAACCACAAATCTCTTCTAGGCTAAACATTCTTCTAGCCAACTCTCCTCTAACAGCCAAACTTTAGGAAAACAAAAACAAACAAACAAAACAGCATTTATCTTTTGCTTTGCATTGGCAGTGCAGCCTATTGCGTGCCACCCTCCTCTGGACCCACTCACATCAACAGGACCAAGTGAGTTCCAAGTTCACAAGTTCAACCATCACTTTCCAGCTCTTCCTTCACCTCCCCATAGCACTTGAGCCTTTCAACTTGAACTTAACAACTTCCATCTTGGAACTCTCTCCCACTGGGTTCTTATGACATCACTGCTGCAAGATTCTCCCTCTTTACTTAGGAATGCTCTCAACTCAGTCTTTACTGGTCAAACCTTACATTTTAGCATTTTCCCAGGATTCTATTCTTGGCTTTCCTCTTCTCAAAATGAACTCTCCCTGGGGAGAAGGAGGGGAATATTTACACTGTGAATTATCCCACGTGCCACAAATCAATGACTACATCTGGGTTCACTGGCTTCCTCTCCCTGCTCACCCTCCACCTTTGTCACAGTACTCTCTAGTCATATTATGTGGCTGTCTCCCCTGCCCTGGCATGTTGAGGGTGTGGGCACTACTACCACTCAGCAGTGGTGGTTTCCTGGAGTGGAACTGGGAACATGAATGAGCATGTTAGCAGAGCAAAAGCCATGCATCTTAGAGGAGTGCAGGAAGACACAGAGTATTCCTCTTGGACTTCACTTGTGAAGACCTGGAGAGGAATTTCATGTGCCTCTATTTTTATCTACATCTAGATTTACCTCTGACTTTCCTTGCTTAGCACAAGGGCCTGGCAGATGGTGGGTAACTTATGATTGAGAGAAGTAGAGAAGGAGTGGGAGGATTGGTAGGATTTCAACAGCTACAGGTTGGGGAGGACTCACTGAAGTCAGAGGGAACAGGAGGGCTCAGGCAGACACAGGGGCATGTCAGGACAAGTAATCAGCACTGGCACCAGAACACAGGGTCCTGATCTCACCAGACTTCCTAACTGAGTTGGAGACGCAATTTTCTGGCAATGGGGAACAAGATAAGTCTATTCAACAGTGCAATTTGTGATTGGAAAAGAAGAAACTGAAACAGAGTATAACTCCTAAATAGTTCCCCAATGAATTACAAAGTGAGGGTTAATGGAGGCCTGAGCTATAACAACTGCCTGCTCAACAGCAACCACAGCAAAAATAGGACAGAAAGAGAAAATATTACTTTTAAGATTGTAGCTAAATAAAAAAATTTCCAAATATTTAAAAATAGTTGAATGAGCCAGACACTGGTGGCTCACCCTGTAATCCCAGTTATTCAGGAGGCTGAGATCTGAGGATCTCAGTTTAAAGCCAGCCTGGGCAGAAAAGTCCCTGTGAAGCTCTTACCTCCAGTTAACCACTCAAAAACTGCAAATGGTGCTATGCCTCAAATGGTAGAGTGCCTGCCTTGAGCACAAAGAGGATCAGAGACAATGCCTAGGCCCTGAGTTCAAGCCCCACAACTGACAAATAATATATATATTTCATTCATATATATTCATATATATATATGAATGAGTTGATGGATTCAAAAGTCTAAAGCAAAGACAATAATACATTAAAAAAAAACACGCTTAGACCTAAGTTTATTGAGTCAATCCATCATGAACAGCAGTGGATGTCAGACATCCCATGTACCCACCACAGATTCTGGTATCAGTAAGAACCCAACATGCAGCTGATGCCTAAATGAAGCATCTGTGCATGTTAGGGAAAGACCATTCTACAACCACTGGGGTGGGGGAGGGGGAGCAGGAGATGGAATAAACCATACCGTGAAGCTGTTGTTGGCATTTTTTGTGCTTGCTTCAGCAACACTGGCATCTGAGAGATCAACTTCATCAAATATCAGCGACTGTTGATGAAAAGAAAACAAACAGGTTACATGGAAACCTGGCTTCATGTTCTTCAATGCATTTTACTATAGGGTCATGACGATGACTGATTTGTCAAAAATAAGAAATAGAATATAAAAGTTAAGTTAGTAACACTTTGCAATTTCTTCTTAGGCAAGGTAAGTGAAATCATAAAGTACAAACTAATTCATAAATCCTAAGCTGAAAAAGATTTTAAAGAAAAGTTTACAAGACCTCCTTTTCAACCAAAAGCGGAAATGTGGTGCTTTGTACCTGTTACCCTAGCTATGTGAGAGGCTGAAATTAGGGGGAATCGCAGTTCTAGGCCAGCTCAGGTGGAAAAGTCAGCAAGACTCCATCTGAAGAGAAGCAGCTGAGCAAAGTGGCACCTGTCATCCCACATCCCACCACAAGAAGCTTAAAGGTGGACTGAGACACAAGTATATGCCCAAGCAGGAAGCCTAACTCTATCTCAAAATAACAAGTGCAAAAAAGAGCTATAGGTGTTATCCTTTGGTAGAACGCCTGCACAGCAAGCTTTAAAACACTGAGTTAAAGTCCCAGTGCCACCAAAACAAACAAAAAAGACCCCCAACACACAGCTTTAATCTCAATGTTCTGTGCTTTCTAGAAGCACAACCAGTATCATTTATGGGAACCCACTGAGTGTATTTCTCTCTCTCTCTCTCTGTCACACACACACACACACACACACACACACACACACACACACACACACACACACACACACACACACACACACACACACACACACACACACACACACACACACACACACACACACACACACACACACACACACACACACACCCCTTCCATCATGGAGGTAAAGGTCACTTTACCACTCCTAGGTCAGAACACAGTAAATGACTAACAGTCTGGACATTATTTCCTCCTCTATAAATACCTGTTCAAAGGAGATAGTATACATGCCCTGCAAACAAAAGATGTTTCTTTTTTACTTTTTTAATTTCTCTTTTATATACTTCAACATTGTCTTACTCCAAAAATGTTAGTAGTAAAAGTTCCATGAAAATGGAATTTTAAAAAATGAATAAGTTATCAATTAGAAAGTCTGAATAAAAGCAAAAAACATGTATCCTTTTCACTTCTAAGTCACATTCATCTTGCATAGTCACATTCATCTTGCATTCCTATAGCAAGGCTGGGGTAACAATGTATCTCTACAATAGCAGGAAGAAAGGCTGCTATACCTCTTCCCAGATCTTCAAAAGGGTTGTGACAGTGTACTTCACTTTAACCAATCTAACAACAGACCTGTTCCTGACTAGAAGGGGCTTGCAACCAAACAATGGGACATAAAATAGACAAAACTGCTAGGCACCAATGGCTCACACCTATAATCCTACCTACTCAGGACTTTGAGATCTGAGGATTGTGGTTCAAAGCCAACCAATTAAGCATCAAAAAACCTGGAAGTGAAGCTATGGCTCTTAGCCTTGAGCAAAAGAAGTTCAGGGACAGAGCCCAGGCCCTGAGTTCAAGCCCCATGTGTGCATGCATGAGCGTCTACTCACACACACACAGGCACACACACAGGCACACACACACACACACACACAGACAAAACTATTATAACACAGGAAAGACTGTTAAAAGTAGAAGAAAAGAAGTGCTGAGGAATATCACCAGTGATTGCTCCAGTAGAAAATGATGGCATTCTTACTCTTATAAATCATGGAAATAATGACTGAGGGGACCTGAAAGAATACAAGGCATTTCACCAACTAGAGACAAAGGAAAGTCCCCCTGAGAAGGGAAATTAGCCACAGTGAAAGACTGCCACCCAGACAATGCTTCTAGAGATAAATACTGGAAGCCAGAATGGAGCCAGATCAGGACTACAGTGAACTTTCATGGCTTTTAAAATAACATTATTTTATTTTGTTCCAACTTAGATACAAGAATTTGGTTATTCTATTATAGCTACACAGACTAAGAATTAGGTTGGTTTGTTGTTTACCTCCTTCTATATAACTATATTATAATGATATCAGGAACATAATATTTTGAAAAATAGAAATGATTAATTATTCCATTGGCACAGTAGCAAGAAATCTGAAGGTTTATTTTCAAAGAAATATTGAAATGTCAGTTTCAATGGGGCTCACCATTACAAATTTTTCATCCAAATAAATTATTTTAACTGTTACATAAAAATTATTTTGTCTTGATTATATTTCAATATCACTTTTATTCTTAATTGCTAGAATTATGAGAGTGGTTGTGCCAGGTTTTATGTAAGTGCTTGACGTGCATTGTTACTCTAGGTCTCCTCTCTACAACATATTATGAGTTAGTCACAGGCACACCATGAGATGTACTGGATTAGAATATGAACCTGTATCTGAACTCAGAGCTTGAATTTGTGTGTCTTGTGTGTGTGTGTGTGTGTGTGTGTGTACACACACTGGAGCTTGAACTCAGGGCCTTTTACTCTTGCTTAGCTTTTAGCCTCAAGGCTTGTGCTCTACCACTTGACACAGCTCTGCCTGAGGCTTTTTAAAAATACTTTTTGTCATTATTATAAAGGTGATATACAGAGGAGCTACAGTTACATAGGTCAGGTAAAGAGTAGATTTCTTTTTAGACAATATCACCTCTTCCTTCACTCTCCCAGGCTTTTCCCCCCATCCCCACCCACAAGTTACACAGTTCATTTTATTTTCAGCACAGTGGCTAGTGCATACCATGGTTCCATTTGTTCAGCCTTTGTCCCTCCATTTCTGTGCCCGCCTTGCCCTTCTAAAGACAGATAAATGAATGAACAAAACAAAAAGAAAAGAAAACCTTCCCAGGTTGGCTTTAAACTTCAATGCTCTGATTTCAGCCTCTAATAGTGAGGATTACACCTGTAATCAGTGCCTGGCTTCAGAGCATGAATTCTTAACCACTATGTTAACTCATTCTCTCTGTCTCTGTCTCTCTCACATAGTCAGAAACAATTAAAATGTTAAAAAAAATTAGCCAAAAAGTGGGTGAACCTAAAATTTCAAGTTATACCCAAAAAAGATTGTGCTTAATGTTTTACTTAAATCTGGAGAAAAGAAGAACAGGAGTAAGAAAGAAAAGCAAACTATTTGTGTCTTCCTGGAGGATTATTCTTAAGGACATGTAATAGGAATAACTCTAATAATTCTTGGAGATGAGGCCCAAGATGGATCATGCTTCTACTGAGTCCATATGAAAGGAGAATGCTGTGGGGGGTGGGGAGCGGCTACAAGCCAAAACTTCAGCTTCACTCACAATCTCCCATGTTCTGAAATTACCTTAGAGTCCTTTGCATAATAAAGTGTGTGGCCTCGGAGCTTGAAGTATCGCTTTTTCCATCTTTGGAAAGAACTGGTTTGCTTCAATAGTTGTCCCTCTTTAATACTGGTCTAGGGAGAAACAGAAGCATAATGATATAGATTACAATGAAATCCAATACCAAATACAATTCAGAAACAATAACATAGGACTGGTAACAATTTGATTATTTCCCACATCCTTCAAATTACAGGAGAGAATATTTCATTCTCATCAACCCCTCAATCAAGAAGGTATATGCACAAAGTCCAAAAGAGTAAAAGTAAATTTGATATGGCTTTCTGCCTTCAAAAATTCATAAGCATGGGCTTGCATGTTCTTGACTGAGAATGAGCTCTAGTCACTCTCCCCTGATCTGCTCACACATTCTCAAACATGCTTCTGTAATCTTTACTGCCCTCAGGTTTTCTGGCTAATCAGACCCAGCTCAGTCACCACCTGTTTGCTACTCCAACTTGTTCTTGCTCTCCTCCATCTTTCCCCATACTGGCCTTATTACCCAACCCCATAAAGCACTTCCCATCTTCTAACATCAAATATAATTTACTTATTATGCTACCCTTATTGGAATAGAAAGCCTCTGAGTTTATTACATCTAATAATGTCAAAGTTAATGTTTCATTTTCATTGGAAGGAAAAGAGAAAGCAAGATTCTTTCCTATAAGATTATCCTCAGGAGGACTGGGAAGGTGGCTCAGTGGTAGAGTGCTTGCCTTGTATGCATGAGGCCTTGGGTTCGATTCCTCAGCACCATATAAGCAAAAAGAAAAAAAGCCCGAAGTGGCGCTGTGGCTCAAATGGTAGAGCGCTAGCCTTGAGCTTAAGAGCTGAGGGACAGTGCCCAGGCTCAGAGTTCAGGCCCCATGACCGGACCCACCCCCAAAAAAAAGATTATCCTCAGGAAACATGTCCATAAGACTGGGACAAATGGGAGTCTCTGGGATGTGATCCAAGACAGCTATGTTTATTCTAAATTCAACAAAAGAGTAATCATGCTATAGTAATCCTCCTGGACGAAAACAATTAATGGAACCCAAATTTTTAAATCATCCAACTGAAAGGTACACTGATGTGTCTCAGGTATGAAGAACAATATTTAGCACACATGATTGATGAGGAATGAATGAATGGCCGGTGCTGATAATAATAAACTTTGTGATAATAATAAACTCTTTCAGAGTTTATTTGCAGCCTTCACACCATACTATCCTCTGTCATACTGTTATCCATAACAGTATAAAAGGGTTAGGGTTAGGGTTAGGGTTTGTTGTCTCGGTAAGGTAATTACACTACATAATATGTACTTTCAATTTCCATAAGAGATTTGCTCTACAGCTTGCTTGCTCCAAGCCTGTCCTCCAGGAATCTTGAGATCATTGCATTATAATGCTAACAAAATACTTCAGAAATGTCATTAGATCAGCCAGATTCCCAAACTCCATCACATGCTAATGAATGCCAGGCAAAGTCACTCCACCTTCTGTGCCCAGTTTTCTCTCTAAAAGATTGGAACAATACCAACTTCATAAGCTTGTTGCATATCATTTCATGATAAGATAATGTCTGGAAAACACTTAGCACGCTGTCTGGGGTGACTGAAAACATTAGTGGCAGAAAGTGTTATTATTATTATATCATTATGCTATTAAACTCAAGGAGTATTTTTCCAGGCATCAAATTATAAGAGCTTCTTGGAAGAAGTAAATAAATGTTTGTAGGCTACTGACAGGGCAAATAACAGCGGGAGTGGATGAGGAGTACCAAGAGATGAAGTTATAGGAAACAAGAGCCAGGATTTGCTGGCCACCATGGGGAATTTGCTTTTTATCCTAAGTGCAAAAAGCTAGTGAAATGTTTGAGGCAGGAAGAGTGAGTGTGAAAGGAAGTGGAGAAATCATTAGGAGGCTACTGAAGGACAGCAGGGAAGGAGGACAGATAGATCCTGGAGCTGTAGGATCTTCATCCAGGTAGAGAAAGGGGAGCATTTGAGATTGCTATTGAAGGTAGCTTTCACTGAAATGCTGCTAGAAATGGAGGGCAAAGGAGGGGGAAAAGTACCTATACATTTGGCTCAGGGGAGGAGAGGTTAGATACAAAGAGTTGGTCAGGGAGAGGTAATAGAGAGGTAGGACTGTTTGAAGAAATCGAAAGTATGGCTCAAAAATTGGGAGTGCAATGGGGAAGATTAAAATACACTGGAGCCAGCCAGTGAAAACTGTAAGTCTATTTGAAGCCAAGACCTACAAAAGAACAGTCCGGATCCATTCACAAAACAGAGATATGAGGGGCTAGTACTAGGGTTATTATACTAAGAGATCCTCCCAGCTCACAAGCACAGGGCCTTCCCTGCACTATAGCAGGGAATAAAGGATGACAGGCTCAAACCCCTGGGCTATACCTGTAGAAATCCAAGCCTCTGTAACCAACACCCAAGTGCTATGAATATCATTTTTGAAATTCCATAGTAACATCTGATGTTGCTGCTATATCTGAAAAATTTACACCCGAAATACTATTAGCTTGCCTTAATCATGGATTTATTTATTTATTTATTTATCCATTCATTCATTCATGGTTCTGGCTTAAGCAGGTCAAAAAATAATAAATGATACCCAAAAGAGGAAAAAACAAAAGAAATATCAAAAACAAAACAATTTCTGCACATGCATTACGTAGCTCAGTGAATGCAGAGAGGCTCTGTCGGTCCCGTATTATTGTTGATTATATTTAAATTGTGGTGTATCTGCTTGGTTTTCCCTGATTAATTTTGAGAAAGTTGGCCTCCCCAACCTGCCCCCCAGTAAGCAAATGGTGCTCAAAAGAAAAAGTAACAATTGATAAAGTAAAATTTGAGATTCACTTAAAGGTAGCATCTCATTAATGGTGATTGGGTGTTATGGGAAAAAATGAATCAAGCATCCTCAATACCCATGGTTATCAAGTGTATACTGTAAGTCACTGGAGTACAAAAAGTGTAAAAAGAATCAATAAATCAAGAGCTTCCATTGGAGCAGTTATCTCCTTCCAGCCCAAAGAGAGACTCTGAATTAAAAATGGCAGGGCAAAAGAAACATAGGTCCCATGCTTTCCTTTATTTGCAATAACTAGTATATGTCTGAGACAAGCAGAAATGGTCAGATAAGTTGATGTTAGGCGAAATGAACCCCAAGATAAGGACTCAAATGTTTTTTCTTTCTTGCAATTGTTTCTAACATATTTATAAGATGATTTCTTTGTTGCTTTGTATGTCCCTCCCCCACAGTATAACCCCTGTTTTCACTGTATTTGATGTTGGTATAATTTGTGGAGGGGAAGGGAAAAAACAAATAGTTTAAATAGGGATACAGGTGGACCCATTGCAACAATGAGATGTACAAGACGTTATGTTGAAAACGAACTTTACAACTTTGGGATGCAGGGTGGGAGACAGGAAGGGATGTGAAGGGGAAACAAAGGAGGAGGCAACAATGCTTGATAATATACTCATTACCTTGCCCATGTAATTGTAACCCCTCTGTACAGTATTTTCACAATTAAAAAAAATTAAAAAATTAAAAATGGCAGGGCAGTTACGGCATCCTGGAGATCCTAAGATACTGGAGGATTTCTTAAAAAGATGACAGGACCCAAGTCCATTGTATAGAAATGTGGTCATGAATCTTCAAATTGTGTAAGTTTAAAGGCTTAAGGTAAAATAGGTGAAATGCAGGGAATATTTTACAAACCTCTAGGATAAGATCAAGAGTTCATGGGGAAAATATTGTATGTACTAAGCTGAGAAGACACAGGGCTATGGGAAACTATAAGCCAAAGGAACAAGTTAAAAAGTAACAGGGTTTCAAGGAAAGGAATTTCAAGCAGAAAACAAAGTGGAAAGACAAAGCATGTGAAGAACATAGCTACTCAAGTAAGGAAAGGCTATGGAGCCATCTAACCCAATATAAAATTTGTGGGGGTCAGAAGGTCTGGGAAATGATATGACTTCATAGTCACTTGAGAAGAGAACTGCACATCTGAGATTTCTACCAGGTGTTTAATTCCTTAAGACCGAGCATGTAATTTACCTAAGAGAATATGTGTTACATTCTCAAATTCTTGGAGTAGTTTTCAACCTGGAATGTACATTCAAATTACCAAATGTTATAAAAGTACTGGCTGCTAGGTGTCACTCCCACAATGACAGGATATGCTGACAGTGTAACCTCAAAATTTCTCCCAGGACCTGGGTAAAATGTTAAGCATTATTAAGACAAGGTTGCTTTTTTACATGGCATCATGAAATGCTAAATCCTCACAGAAGTCATGGATGAAGCTTCAAGGACTAAAGGTCTGTGTCCCAGGGACCTACCTGGGTACCAGGCTAGAAGTGGGAGCACATATGGCCTTAGAAACCAAATCCCAGTGTGGTTAAGGCCCCAGGCTAAATTCCAAGGACAATAGTTACCAATCTCTCTCTCAACAGGTGTCCTGGGCACTGTTTTTTGCTGAAAGAAGATAGGCTGCCTCCTCTTTTTTTTTTTATTAAATCCCTGACAGCAAAGGGCTCTCCTCTTTCCTGCTTTTGGACACAAGCTATAGAAGTGAGATTACTGATACAGCCGCCTGCTCCCTACCTTAAAAAAAAAAAAAAATGAACAAGAAGTTTATTGGTAAATTAGGAGTTCAACCTCAACCAAGTATACATGTGTCTTTTCATTCCAACCAGAATTGCAAACCACTTGAAGTTTGGTGCTATCTCATTTGTATTTCCATTGTAAAGGTTCTACAGTATTTATAGGAATGTGTGTGTGCATGTACACCTAACTTTCTATATAGCTGTCATGGAAATATGAAATGAAATATGTGATGGTCTAAGTTTCAAGCAACCAATTTGTAAACTAATTACTTCTGAAACAAAATCTACTTGTGAGTGAAAGTCTATGTAAACAGGAAAAAAGACAAAATAACTTCTGGGACAGTGGTTCCTAATTTGGGGATAAAAAGCCTTTTCGAATCTGCAGAAAACTATATCTCAAAAAAAAAAGAAAGAAAAAGCTGTCTCCAGGACACGCACATGAGCACATTTACATAT